TTTTTTTTTTTTTTTTTTTTTTTTTTTTTTTTTTTTTTTTTTTTTTTTTGTTTCTTTCTCTAGTTGCACGATAAATACCAGGAATTTGTCACTGATTCACAAAGAGAAGAGCTTTCTGCCAGACTTCAGGAGGTTGAAGATTGGCTGTATGAAGATGGGGAGGATGAAACAAAGGGAGTCTACATTGCAAAACTTGAGGAGTTGAAGAAAGTAAGTGACATATTTCAAGTTTCTGACCTCCCTTAGAAGGAAGAAAATATCATTACAAGATATTCTGTCCTTATTTTGTGCGTGATATTCTGTGATATTCTGTACTGATGTTGAACATGATTGCAGCAAGGTGACCCGATAGAGGAGCGTTTCAAAGAGCACACGGAGAGAGGAACTGTGATTGATCAACTTGTTTACTGCATCAATAGTTACAGGGAAGCAGCAGTGACAGCAGATCCAAAATTTGACCACATCGACATCTCTGAGAAACAGAAGGTACTTGTATCAATCTCTTCCAGGCAATTCTAGGTTTGGGTGATTGTGTAACATACGTTCCCTTAATCAAAATAATCTGCAGGTGTTGAATGAATGTGTGGAAGCAGAGGCCTGGTTAAGAGAGAAGAAGCAGCACCAAGACTTGCTACCTAAACACGCTACACCTGTCCTCTTTTCTGCTGATGTGAGAAAGAAAGCTGAAACACTCGACAGGTTAGTGATCCTTTTCGGATATCTGCATCGGATTAGTTTTCTTCCGCTTGCCCCCTTTGAAAATAGAGCATATCTGCATCCAACTTGTGCATGCTATCCATGAAAACAGTATTGTTACCTGCTAGTCCATGGCATTGTTAGTATGCTCATCGGTTTTTCTCATGTTTGGAATGGCATTCTGCAGGTTTTGTAGACCAATAATGACGAAACCCAAGCCAGCTGCTCCCGAAACACCTCCCCCAGCTCCTCAAGGCAGTGAGCAGCAACAGGGAGATGCCAGCGCTAGCGCAACCCCGAATGGGAAGGCAGGCGGTGAGACTGAGGTGTCCTCAGCCTCTACAGATCAGATGGAGACAGAAAAACCTGAACCTACAAGTGCTGCTTAATCTCTCTGCTGGAATGCCTTGCTTTATTATTTATTGCGAACTGTTGTGGAGCTGGAAAAAAATGAAATGTCTCGATGAGCGGATGAATTAAGGAAAGCTTGCCCATGTATTCGACTTGTGAAATCAGTTGTGAAGCGTTTTGTATTTTGTTGTTTTTGCTAGGGTTTTCTTCTATTGCCGGAGCGAGAATTCACCATCAATCCGGTTTCTCAAAAGCAAAATTTTCAGAGAAATGTTTGAGGCTATTACTCATCTTTCCTGCGCTACTTTCTATACCATTTTGAACTCCAAAAGAATTATTAAATGTATAATTTTTGCTCATTTCTTTCATCTTTGATTTAACCATCTTCCTGCTTCAAATCATCATCTCCATTCTTGAATATTATTTTAATTACCTCTACTCTTAACTAGATCGAGCGGTCTAATTACCTCATTGTAGAAAATTTCACGGGGTAGTAGTTTTGAACATTAATGTAAATAAATAAATATAAACAATAAAGTGAAGATGCAAACCACAAACTACATTATTTATTGGCCCGTAAGATAGTTCATTGGAACTTCGAAGGCCTCAAACCTGCAAGTTCCAACTAAACTCTGGCAGCTAGAAAAGGAACATGTGATGAGAAAAAAAGAGAACGGAAGTGAATAATAATCCTGTAATTCTATTATTGTTGTCAAAAGTAAGAACGGTTCCATCTAATATGAATAATAGGGGAGAGGCCTCCCATGTATTTATACAGACAGCTGAATAACATATTCCTCGACCTCGTGTCGCCGCCCTGCCCAAGTTTTGGATTAAGATTACATTAACCACTGGCACTTTTGGCAGAGGCACCATATTCCTCGTCGTCGCCCTGCCCAAGTTTCGCGATCTCTGCCTGAGCGCTCTCCATAATCTGCCTTTTCTGTAGCTCCAAATCTCTTAAGAAATCCATCCTCATCTTCTCCAACTCCATCATTTGATGTCTTTTGCTGCTCTCTATTTTCTCATAAATCTCACTGAACTTGTGAATGGAGTCAGCTAGCATTCTGAATGAAGAGCCATCATCGCTGTTCCTCCCGTGCATTCTTTTCTTAGGGGGAAGCCCATCCAGTTCATCGTCTTCACAATCATCCGATTCTGAATTATCAGGGCTGTCTCTCATCTCATCGAACCCATTTGCACGGTTCAGATAAGCTCTAGGGTTCATGAACACATACTCTCCCGAATCTAACCCGCATGAGAGGCCACCTTGGTTAGGGGGTGAAGACATTAACATGTCCATTTTCTTGAAGTAAACCCATTTGCTCGTAGATCCACCCATTTCGGTTGACTTGGATTTTTCCTTTTTATACTTCTTCTTCAATGTATCAAGGCGGTTTCGACATTGTGTGTCAGTCCTGTCAATCTTAGAAACCTCAGACACCTTCTCAGCAACCTCTTGCCATTCCTCAGATCGGAGACTTTTCCTCCCATGCTGAAGAAACCGTTCACCCCAGGCATCTAGAAGAACAACTGTTTCGTGTTCATTCCAATCTGTCAATGAATTTCTGCCCCCAACAAATGATTTTTGTGCCATAGTCGCAGATGATGATGCTGGCATACGAGGAGCAAGTTCATAATTTGATACCAAATTCTTCAGCCGCCGCTTCTTCGGGTGTCTTTCCAAATCAACATCATCCAATTTGACAGTATTGTTCTGCTTGTTGTCTTCATCCATATCAAAATCATCCTCATCATCGCCATCGTCTACTTCTTCACTTGTGTGAGCAAAACCATTGTTCTGATCATTTTCATCCTCTTCATCACCCAGTCCTTCCTCCTCTTCATCGTCATCCTCAACGTCATCATCTACATACTGATTGGCGACTGGCCTTGAATAAGAAGCATCCCGGTGAGGAATCTTTGAACGTGGTAGAGAACCATAACTTTCCCGATGGTTCCCACTGTAACGCTCGGACAAAGGATATTTTTCTTCTCCGTTGTCCATTTGAGATCAATCAACAACAAAAAATCTCGGAGCTAGTCCCCTCAGAAATCCAACCACTTTTCAAATTATACCAAAATCCACATTTTCAGATGACCAAACTGCGATTGTGAACACAAAAAAGGCTTCCTCCGTTCTTAAATAACATATTTCTTATCAATCGACCACACAAAAAACCTTATTCCCTAATTCTCATAAATGGATCAATAATCTTCAGCAAGAGCCTCGAGCTTCTACCCCGACAGACGGAAATAAATATTCCTCCAGATCCCCTGTGTCTCATCCGAGATCCGAAAATAATTTAATATACTAGAAACCCTAATTCATCCACAATAAGAGAGGGCAAAAAAAAGAAAGCAATATCTAACTCCTCTACCTTCTCGACTCCAGGATATTATCGAACAAACATAGCTCCGTAACACCAATTCGAACGGAAGATCGAAACGTCATACAATACGAAGATTCGTTGTTCTCCAAAAGCCCTAATTTCAAAGATGAACCAAAATTTCGAGAATATCAGACCACGAGCTCTTACCTCGAGCAAAGAGGTGGAAAATCGAAGACTTCTGCAACTGCGCGATTCAGCTAAAGCTTGTTCTTGTTCTCAAAACTGGAGCTCGAAAGGAATCCGAGATAGATGAAGGAATAAAGCCTTTGAAGCAAACATAGGGGACAGTTCAGATGAGAGAGTGAGACACGGAGATATAATAAGGTTGCTGCTAACGTACGCAGACCAATTTCTCGTTTCCATTGGGCCGTAAGTTTGGTGATAATAATGGGCCGAATTGGATTTGGAGTCTTATTGGGCCTGGGCCCTTTGGAGGCCACTCCTTTTTTATTTTAGGTTAAAATATTATATTATCCTAATAATAAAATCAGTTCCATAGTCTCTATTATTAAATTATTATTCATATATATATATATATATAAAATATAATTATCCATGTTATATTATATTAATAACTATAATCTCATAAATTAAAATATCAAACATTTACAAGTTACAATACATCACCATCCTCAATTACAATTATTTTTTTTTATCGTTTTAAAAATAGGGCAGAGGTGAATTGTAACCGAAAAAAAGTCAACCTGAAATTTAGGATTTTTTAAAAATTCAACCTAATCTAAATTAAAAAGAAATATAACACAACCCGACATTTATGTTTGAGCTGTGTAGTTTGGATTAGTCGGGTTATTAGGTCATATGATCACCATGAAATACAATCAACATGAAAAAATACTCATTTTTATTCTAAAATTTCACAATTTTTAAGTGATATCAATCAAATTCAAGACATGTCCGATCTCAAACAACAACATTAATTAAAATGTTGGTATTTTTGCTGTTTTCCCCTTTCAGGGAGACAAAAACAGTGACCTGGCAACATAAAACGAGCTGGTTGTGGATAAGGTAGATCTTTTTCTTACGTGGCTTGTTCTTAGTGGTTAAAGAGAAATGCCAAATGTCACGTTCTTACTATCCACGTGGAACCACTAATCAGTATGAAATTACGAAAGTGACATGGAACTTTAACGACCGTAGCCAATGGGGGAGTAGTGTAATTTAAAGAATCCAAGAAGGGTAGTAAAGTCATTTCACTATCGGCGAGACATAGTCCGCTGCAGGAGGGTGGGGGCGCGAGGGATAGGAAAAACAAGAAGGTTTCTGGTTCGTCTTCAATTATCTTGGAAGGGAAATAAAGTGGAAGATAGAACTGTGAAATCGATGATGGGCTTTGCAATGGGAAGCACTTGCTTTTTCCAGGCTCCGCTTCATATCTCTCGCTTTCCATTTTCTTCGATTCCTTGTTCTTCGTGTTCTTCACAATCAAATTCGCTCACCACAAGGAATGCAGCGGCAAGACAGAAAATCGGAGTACCGGCGGCTGTGGAGCGAAACAATTACTTAAACGATGATGGATTATGCAAGAGGAGGGCGATTCTGTTTCTCGGTATTTCAGTTTTTCCGATTCTGCAATTGAAGGCTCAAGCTCTTGAAAGTTCGGCTCCAGGTAAATTGGTCCCGTTGCTTGTTCTTTTTGCAATGTGGTTGTTTTGGAATTGGACGAGACGAGTATCAATCTGATTAGGTTTAATTTCAACAATTTGTGAAATGATAGTCCAATGAATTGACGCGCGTTTCGTTAGTTAACAGTATTATGATTATGAAGGCAGCTTGCATATAAAACGAAGAAATTTCTGACAGATTGCTCTGTTTATGGAGATTCTGATGGATTCACTAAGTCTATGGGGAACATCTGGAGTTTTTCTTCTATATTAGACAGATTTTTCTCAGTTTATATATTAGGAGTTCAATTCTGGTGGCACTTGTTAATTTCCTGATGTATGAAGTTTTAGAGCAATAACTCAATTAGGTTGCTGTATGGTGGATATCTTTGTTTTCCCTATTGTGTTTATTACTTGCATTATTTGGTGATTGCAGTGTGGTTCTTTATTAATTATTGACTCCTGAAATTTTGTTGTTTAATTCCAATGTGTTAGCCACGAAATATGAGTTAAGTTTTGTTCGTTCAAACTTAGTAACTATGCATTTAACCTTTTCCTGTAGTGTTTATATATACCAATATACCAAATGGGGATCGTTGAGGATTATTGGGAGGAGTAGTCCCATATTGGCTAATTAAGGGGAAGATCATGAGTTTATAAGTAAGGAACACTATCTCTATTGGTTTGAGGCTTTTCGGGAAAAAGTAAAGCCATGAGAGCTTATGCTCAAAGTGGACAATATCATGTTATTGTGGAGGTTCGTTGTTTTTAACATAGTATCAGAGTCATACCCTTAACTTAGCCATGTCAATAGAATCTTCAAGTTTCAAACAAAGAAGTTGAGAGTCTCAACAGTGTAGTTAAAGTGACTCGAGTGTCGAACAAAGGGTGTACTTTGTTCGAGGGATCTAGATAAAGAGTCGAGCCTTGACTAAGGGAAAGTTATTTGAGGGCTCCATAGAAGGAGGCCTCAAGGGAGAATGTGCCTTGTTCGAGGGGGGATTGTTGAGCATTATTGGGAGGAGTAGTTTCACATTGACTAATTAGGGGAAGATCACGAGTTTAAAAGTAATTAATACCATTTCCATTAGTATGAGTAATTAATATCATTTCCATTAATATGAGGCCTTTTGGGAAAACCCAAAGCAAATCCATGAGAGTTTGTTCTCAAAGTGTACAATATCATATCATTGTGGAGATTCATTTATAGTCCTGGACTGATTTTGTTTCCTAGAAGAAGATTCAGAGTTTATTTGGAATAGTAGCTCCTTGTTTTTCATTATTCAATTGGTGGCCCTGATGCAAAGTTGTAGACAACAAGACTATCCATATTTTGCGTGTTGATTTGTTAGTAAATTTGATGCCTTTTTCTGAATTAGATGTATGCTTTTAAGAAGTCAGATATTGTTTAAAAGTCTGCATCAATATTACTTATAGCTTTGATGAAGTTTGTTGTGATATCAAGTTTCAGATCCATTGATTTTCAAACATAGATACCTATTGATTGTTTAATCTTCACACACCTAACTTGATCTGTGCAGAGAAAACTGAGGTAAATGCTCAAGAAGGGAACCAAAATATAGAGGTCTGAATCTTTGCTTAATTTACAAAAATATGGTTGATTTGATTGATATTCCCGAAACTTTCTTAATATTTTTTTGTTTATTTTGGGACAGCTTGCGGCCGAATTAGAGAAACCATCAAATCCTTTTGTACCTTTACTCAACGTAATTGGAGTTTTTGGTTCGGGGGTGCTTGGATCACTCTATGGAATAGCTCGAAAAGAGAAAATTGCTGCCGATATGGCGTTAGAATCTGTAAGCTCATTCTTCACCTGCCAAATATTTTCAGCACATTCTCTCCTTGTTGTTTCTTCTTTTCTTTTTTTCACACGACAAGAATGTGGTTAGCTGAGGAGTTCTGTCGGGGGGGGGGGGGG